TCTTGATCTAATCCCAGACAAATTTTCCAAATATCATCAGAACCTCACCCATCATCCAAATCCTGTAGCTCCAGCCATTCCTCCATTTCTCCCAGAAAGTTAAAAAAAACCCTGCGACTTTTTTTAAATAAATATACAGGGTGTTCCGTAAGTAGAGAGAAATATTTTAAAGGGAATTTAAGAAAAATATGATATTTATTCAATATAAATAATAATAAGCCAAGTTGTAGAAAATATTTGTATGCGAGTAATGTTTTTTGTTTAATAGGAAGAGATAATTTAATAAATATTTGATAAAAGTAATAGAACATTGCTCCATAGTAAACTAGATAAAATTTACTTCAAACGTAAGTAGAGTTTGGTATTGTTAAAACTAGTTACAAAGGACTATTTAGTGACCAAATACTTCCTTTTAAAGTTCCTTTAGTTTTACTCCCCGACAAGTTCCTATATAAGAAAGTTATAAATTATTTGTGATTTTTTTTTATCCCCCTTTAATTGTACTACATTTACCCCACTTTTAGAAAAACTTCCTCACTTAATAAGCTGAAGTCCATATTAATTAAGTTGAGGATTATTTTTAAAGAAATGAATGTGATTTTCTATCTAGTCACCTAAAAGTACCCTTGTTTCCTACAAAAATGACAACATTAACCGATGCAAAGCTCTTATTGATTATTGATACCAAATATCAACCATTTAAATATTTCTCTCTACTTACGGGACTCCTTATATATGGAGTACCGGCCCGATTCTCCACTCAAGTTCCGAGCGTCTGCTGATCAAACGCGCTCCATCAGTCTCCACTGGCTTCCAATACCAGTGACGCGAATGGGAAAGAAGCACTGGGATCTTCTGGCGTCCTGTTTTGGGTTCCAAACTTGGAGGACAAAGCATGACTCTGAGTGCGAATTTAAATATTGTACATAGATGTGAATGTGTTTTATTTATTTAATTTCATTTAGCTTCTATCTATTAATTTATTTACTATACATATCAATATTAACTATATTTACTTTATTTCTTTTTCTTTATTTTAGTTATTATTTGTATGTACATATTGCCTGAATGACTACAGTATTCCTAATATTAATACCCTTCAATGTAGCATAATGTATTAATATTCAATTAATAGAAGAAAAAATATATATATATATTAAATAAAACACATTTTTTAGTATCATAGAAAAAAATGTAAAAACTGTATTTACATATAAAATGTAAAATTTATGTTTATTTACTATGTATTTCATATTTTAGTTCTTAAAATACAAAAAATGTATTTTATTTTGTATTTAAAAATATTTTATTAAAAATACTGTCTATGTCTTATATATATATATATATATATATATATATATATATATATATATATATATATATATATACACACACAGATATATATATATAAACAATAAACAGTAAAATAAAAAAATATATCTAAAAAAACACCTCTACAGTTCTTAACAAATTTCGAAGTTTAGAAACTAGAGTGAAAATTCGTTATATAAATAAATGAAATTATCAAGTTTCCAAAAACAGCAAACCTTAAACCTGGTGTAATTACAACTTGGGTTGTTTTATAAAACAAGGAACTAAGAAGCACAACATAAATTATGCGGGTGAAATAAATATTGTACATACCATCGATGAAACGATTAGCTGATGTAAAATAGGTCATATTCAAAGAAGCTCCTTAGCACTAACTAAGAACTAAAATAACTAGAACATGTAACGTGTGAAACCAATCTTCGTTTGGGACATGGTCAGTACTCCAAGTTCCAATCAACTTTTAACTACTGAACGATAAGATAATTTATCAACATTGTGCAAGTTAAATAAACACATAGATGTCACAAAGCAATCTATAGCTAGTTTTAACTATCTAAAGATAAAACAAATAATTCTTATATAATTTCAATAGAATGTTCTAAATAAAAATTTGAAAGAAAATGTAGAGACCACGAAGCCACTTCAGACCAAACTGTTCTGCAGAAACAGTCAGTTTTACGAGAAAGAGGGGCCACGGCAAATCTCTCAACTCAAACTAACCACAAAGGTGCCTAACTAACTAGAAATCTACAGGCAGCCAACCAAACTCTCAGGGTCTGGTCACGACTGACAAATCCTTAAAAATGACAAAACTAAATGGGTTAGTATTGGATTCCAATAAAAAAGTATACTAGAGCAATTAAAAGCAGACATTTTATATATATATATATATATATATATATATATATATATATATATATATATATATATATAGGTTTTGTATAGAATGAATTTTTAGTTTGCATTTTAGATATGCTATTTTTTATTTTATTTGTTACTTTAGTACTATACTACAGTATGGGAAAGTATTGGGATCGTGGAAATTTTCGAATCTGAGTTTTCAGCGGAAATAAACGTTTTGAGGTCCCTGAGTCCAAATAACCAAGTACAGCAAAAATGGCTTCTCTGTGTGTATGTATGTGAACAGCCTAGCTCAAAAACAAAAGGTCGTACGAAACTGATATTAGGTATTTAAGATAGATATATGCCTTAAATGTGACAGCAGCTTTTTTAATTTAATTTAATTAATTTGATTAATTTAAGACCTTATAAATAGGAGGCATTTACATAGTTGTTCATTTATATTTACGAATACTTAATTACATTATTATTTTATGTTTTTATTTTTATATATAAGTGGTGAATGAGAAGACGTTTGTTTCTTATAATAACAGTGTAACTTGCGCTGAATTACAAAGTTTTTCTTCGCTTAAAAGGACAAGTTCAAATTCATGTAAATTACAGAATACAAAAAACTGTATAAAACAACAGAATAATTCGTAAAAATATTTTCATTTAGCTTGTTAGATTTTGCATTACACTAATGTACAGACTAATGAACGAAAGATTTATTTAATTATGATTATCAAAAATAAATACTGTTACAATGATAGAAGCTTGAGAATTTTTAAATAAAGCATTTATTAATATTTCATATAGGTTTGGATTTAAAATAATATATATTTCCTAACTCATTTATTACTTATTTTATAATAAAATAGATCTAAGCGTGATATAAGATAAATGTGCCAGTAATAGATAGTTTTAAATTTATGAACTATTAATGAGCTTTTTACGCACTTCAGAGATTTTGAGTACAAATAGTTTTTCAGCTGACACACTCAGAAAGATTACTGATATCTGAACAACAGCTTATTTCATGGTCTATTGGCCGCTTGTCAGTTTTAATAAAATAATACTTAAAAGTTTGCCACATAGAAACTCCTCTTAACACTTTTGCTTAAGAAGTAAGTTTGAAATTGTATGCATAATTTGGAATAAGTTTAATTCATTAGACGGTACTTTTCTATTTCTTAATTAAAAAACAGTGCAGAATTTATTTTCATTGTTTTAAATTATATAAAATAATCTATTAACTCTATAAATTGAGATGTCCATTACTGGAACAGAATTTAAGCAATAGAACTTGTAATAAATTTTAAAAATAGTAGGCCAGGAAATTTTATTTAATTCTGATTGGATGAACGAGTAATAATAATAATGTTTGACATATCAGACCATCTGGTTTATGGATAAAAATTATAAATCTTTCTGTAATGCTTCGATTAAGTTTATGTAATTCACTTTATGTTAATGTTTAATGATATCACAAAAAATAAATTTATATAATTTTATAATAAAGGTACAAGCTTAATACCAAGTCCATTCAAAAAAATTTTGTTCAGGACGGAACTTCAAAAAACTATGAAAAAAAAAATTAGAGAGATAATACAAAGTGTAGTCACATCCAAACAATACCAATAATACCATCAACCACGGGCGGATCTACGGGGGGGGAGGGGCTTTCGGGCTGAAGCTCCCCCCTCCCCAAAATGGAAAAATATAACCATGTTTTATGGGGAAAATTTTTTTAAAAATACCTCTTAAAGTATTATTGTTCGTGTAATTACATTTAAAAGTACTTAAGGAATAACTTAAACACCATTTTATATAGGTAGTTAGTTTCTTTCTGTTTTTCCAAAGTAATTATCGTTATTTTCATAAAAAAAAAGGATTCGGGCTGAAGCCCCCCCCCCAAAATTAAATCCTGGATCCGCTAGTGCCATCAACTGAAAGGAAATGTCAATAGATATAGGAAGTAAGAAAAAAGAGAGAGCGAGCCTAGCCAGACTCAAAAAAGAACAGTAAGAGAAAAAAAGGTAAATGTATAATAATTTATAATCTTATTAATGCATATGTCTGAATGTTATAATTTTAATTTGTTTATTATTATAATTTTTTCCTATAAAAAAGAGCCTGTCTATAACTGGTACAAAAGAGATTCTGTTACTGGATCATTGAAAATTCTATGTGTATATTTTACTGGTACAAAATCATGTATCAGCATTTACCAATTTGTATTTGGCAAATGATACAAACTGTCAATTTAGCGAACATATTTCGATAAAAGGCTAAATTTGCTTGCTATTAAATCAATTTGTGAAGATCCACCATCAGGACTAAAGCAGTAGTTCCCATTAATGTTGAAAAATTCTCATAAAGTGTCTAATACTGGTAATTTACCTTAGTATCGCATAGCTAATGCAGCTTTCAACACATCTAAATAAACAATAATAATTGTGAATACTATGATTTAATAACATTATTACAGCATCATATTGGGAAACAGCTACAGTTCGTCATTATTATACTATTCGTAACAAGTACTCTTATTTCCGGAATAACAACATGAATATTTGAAGATGTGATAGCACATCTTATATACTAATATTAAGCCATTTCTATGACAAATAACTGTAATTTTTTAATAAACCATTTTGATTTCGATAAGAATATATAATCACAGTCAACCAGAAAATCTACAATAGGTGAAGAGAATAGCACCTTTATAAAATTGAGATATTTTTTTAGTCGAGAGAAAATGTCTATACACTCAACCGGTAATCTCAGTGTAATCCGCTTAAATTGAAGTTTGAGAAATGAATTACCTCTTCCCCAATGGGACTGTATGATGGCCGACACGGACATCATGGGCTTCTCCTTCTTGATCATGACGATCGAGGAGTTGCCACACCTGCCACGAGCGGACGGACGACCTACCGCTCACACTGTTTGCGCCCCACTAGCATACTGGCCCCCTCCCACTACCCAGCTTCGCTAACCTTTAACTTCGCGCAAGGTGTGCCCCACCATCTTGAAAATAAATCTACATCTTGATTATTTTCGTCAGGGTTTGGTTTAGTTGGGAGTGAGCTGTCTTCGGGGAGCGATGGCAAGAGTCGTGGGCTATATAGGAGGCAAGGAAACGATGTTGTAAAGTGCTAAATCCTCCGATTTCGCTAAATCCTTCTCTTTCAATTCAATTCACTTATTGTTAAACAATAATTATTAAAGTATTTTATCACACTAAAAATGCTATAAAATCACATATGTTTAAAACCTTAAAAACATTCTGTTGGCATTGCAGACCTTGTAGATCTTTTGACGCCTTAACAAGCCTGCTCCATCTCTGCCGGTCTTGCGCTGTTTCTTTCCAGTTTTCTGCACGCAGCTCTATTACATCTTTGTTGATTCTATCTATACATCTGCTTTTTGGCTTTCCACTATTTTTGCGTTCTATTGAGGTATTCATTGTTATGTAGAGCCTAAACGCTACATGCACCGCCAATCTTGTCCTTTATTAAATATATTTCAAATATACTTTCTTTATTCACGAATATCGAGAGGCTTCATATAAGATTATAAACAAATGTGAATTTATAACATTTTTAGTGTGATAAAGTACTTTAATAAGTTTTGTTTAAAATAAAGTGAATTTATATATTGGAAGGAGACGGTCCGGGGTGGCGGTCATAAATAGGCTAAATAGTTTTGCCACTATTTAGCCTATTTGTGACCGCCATCTCGGACCATCTCCTTCCTTTATAATACAACGGTCAACTATTAAATATTCAATAAGAATTCATATATTATATCGAAAGCCACACTGCAAAGGCCTGAAAGGATAATTTCTTTGGAAAACGCACAAAGCGTTTTGCGCATAGACTACTGTATCAATTAGCTTTATTAATAAGCTAATATCAATTTTTCTCATTCGCTTTGAAATCTTTTTATAAATTTCTAATAAGTGGAGGGCACTATCAGCCCGTCACTTGGAAAAAGCGCGGTTCCCCTCCCTCCCCTCAGACCGGCACTGCTTTACCATGGAACTAGAGAAGACAAAGAAGAGAGTGGTAAATGGGAATACAATATTGAACGGCTTTCAAACAATCGAAACATCCTGGCAACTGCAAAATGAGCTTGACTGGAATAAAGATACAATGCCACCGATTTTCAGATAGTGAGACGGAAAATTGATTTCATTAATTGGAAAATTTAATACGACACGGAAAAGGAACTGAAAAAAAAAAAGAACCAATGAATCTTCGAAATCGCAAGAAGCTCAGAAACGAAGTGATCTACACATCAGCAGGTCAACTAGAACTTACCAAGTTTCAATTATTAATATGTTTACATGATCTGGTATGTATTATTATAGACATAAATGCATAAGCACACTTCTTATTTATTAAAAAAAAAAGTTAATATAATGGTTCTTCGAATATTTATCATCTTAAGCGATAATAAAACTGTTTTTTTTTTTTACCAAAATCTCAATCACAGATATTGATCCGTATTTACAAGCCACCAACAAAATAATTTTAATCCTAATTGAAGGTTTTTTATCCTCTGTATAATGGTACCTCGTTGCTTCACTACTTTGTTATCCACATCAGTCTTCACTCTTTATTGTTAAAGTCAAGAGTCGCTGTACAAACTCTAGAATTCGAGTGTATCAGTGAAAAGCGTTCTAATATTAACTTCATATTTTTTGGCAATTTGATTTAACATTCAATATTTCACTTTTTCTTGCTTTCTCGCTACCGAATGTAGAGAAGCATTGTATTCGTGCGAGAGGTTAAAAAAAAAAAATATGTGCTCAGAATCGAATATTTTCACTCGAGTTTTATGTTTCAGACTGCAAGGATCAAATTTGGTTCGATGTCTGTCATAAGTCAAATCGATACGACGGGCATATCACCTATTACCGTTTATCCGATTTTCATGAAATTTTGAGAGATTGTGCGAATTGGTGTCAAGATGATCCCATGTCAATTTTATCAAATTAGATCTAGCACTTCAGCTTGTGCACGCGCAAACGTATTTGTATAGGTACGCCAATATTTCAGAAACAGCTTATTCGATCTGGCTCAAAGTTCAACAAAAGACCGGCATCGATGAAAAACTAATGTAGTGTTAATTTTACTTAATTATTTTTACTACTTTATCCTATTTATGCGCAAACGTGTTTTCTACATACGTCTATATCTATAAGACCGCAGGTTCGATTTGCCTCGAATTTGGAGGGTTACAAAACAAAGTTGGCGGTTGGTAACCAGTTGATCAAGCAAGTAAGTAGTGATATGGAAGCTCAGTATGCACTGACATTTTTTTTTTAACACAAATATGCAACCTGCAAATGTGGAACTCTTTTGCATTATAGTATTCGCTGATGAACAAAACTCGTGGATACCAAACTCGTATATGGTTACTGAATTTCTTAAAACGGCTTCTCCCAGAGATTTTATTCTCGTACAAAAATTTTAGACCTTCTAATATAGATCACTTTTAGCCAATGAAAATGAAGAGGAATCTATACTGACTTAACTTGGCAGACTTTTTTTTCTTCTATTTAATATGATCTTTATTTCATAAAATGGCGAAATATCATATTTTTGAAATATATAAAATTATAATTTTGTATAGACGAGGACTTACAATCGGGAAATTCAAAATGAAGTTGAAGGTTATATTTCTGGAATTCATTATGTCATCAAAATTAATCCTAATCAAAATGTTTAAAAAACCAAGCCAACTGGAGATATGAAACGTTTCAGGCACGTCTAAAAAGTTCTTCTGCTGCAGAACAACATTTAAAATTATTGTGTATGCTGAGTGTCATCCTCGATGATTAGAAGAAAAATCACTTGGCCTTAAAGGTTATACACAAGCGAAAGCGACTTAAGTTTGCCAAAGAACACACAAATTGGACGAAAGAAGAATGGAAAAAATGTTTATAGAAGGATGAGTCAAAATTTTTAACGTATGGTTCCGGAAGTTAGAGAAGATCTGGAGTGGAATTTTCGAATGAATACTTGCAATCAACAGTAAAATACTTCTTAATGGTTTGAGGGTGTGTTTCTTCATCTGGAGTTGGAGACCTATACTGAATAGATGAAAAACTGGATGCAAAACGGTACCATACCATGCAATACCATCTAGGTTTAATTTGATTTGGAAGAATTTTATTATTCAGAAATATATTATTATTAGTTATTAACATAAATATTTAATTGATCTTTATTATTGAATTAGTTATCTGCAAAGTGTTTTTTTTTTTCAATAAGCAAATCAACACACTTCCGAATAGAGATTAAGGTAGGAGGTTTCTTGGCCACAGCCTTAAACGTCGTCGAGGTAGGATGTGCGGGTTCTTGTTAGAATTGAATGTTTGAGCTAATAAGTTCATGTTTTAATTCAGTCTATAGTGGAAGTTTTTATATTATTGTATTGCAGAGGATGTGATACTGTTTGTATGTCCAGGTGCCAGTGTAATAAGTCATTTGGCACATAAAAGTCTGCAATTTTTCGCAAAATCTTTGATTGAAAAGTTCGTATTTTGTGTATATTAGACTTTTTCATAGTCCCCATAGTTCTGTTCTGTAAGTCTATGTAGGTTTTATAATTTGTTTGTAGATTGTAGATATAATTGATTTTTAATTGGGCTACCAGGTGAAAAGTAAAAATAAACGATATGAAAAGGATATTTATTGTTTTGACACTAAATCATGATACATGGACTGAAAAGAAATAAATGAACAAACTATTTGGACTGCTATCGAGGGTACTTGATAGACGTTCAAAATTATCATTAACCAGCTAATTTAATATCTACAAATCAATTTAAGGAAAAATCTGGTGTCACACGACTTTCCTACCTACTTCAGAAAAGTTTTTATATCTTTATATACGTCCATTAAAAAAATGTATAACTATCTTTATATATTAACAAAAAAAATTAATTACATTAATAAAATTAATTACATTTCCTGAAAATTAATCAAAGAAAAGATTTGAATACGATTTATTAGATAAACTAAAGCAATGTAAAACGGCTTAAGGTAGATCAGTGTAAAAATTTCAATACCCTCTAATATTGCTGATCAAAAACTTTTTGCATAGCCTAATTTTGTCACACAATAATTTATGTTAAAAATGGAGGAAATAGTGAAGCTTGTATGATGCGGGCAACAGATTTTCTTAATTTCACTTAGGACACAGGGGCTCAGAAGTGTATAGATCGGAAATTTGACCAGATCGCAATAGTTTCCTGAATTTTCTCGGGAATTTAGTCTATCTACAATAGAATCAATGGAATATTATAGGGAAGTTTCATCAAAATCGTTAGAGTCGTTTTAGCGCTATAGTCTATAGAAAAATATCTTTTTCACTTATCGCGCAAGGAGCACCTAATTTGTGTCACAGGCAAATCAGTAGTCAAAACCCTACAAAATAAAATAAGAAGCAACAAAATCGGTTCAGTAGTTCCCGAGAAAATCTTGGCACAGACAGACAGAGATAGACGATTGGCTAAAAATGTGTTTTTCGGACGCAGGGAACTCTGAAACGTATAGATCCGTCGAAAGCCGCATATCGGTAACGATAATGAGAATAATCGCAATACTTTCCTTAACTAGCATAGGTAGGAAAGTAGAGGGCGGGGTGGCCGAATGGGCTTACGCGATGTGCGCAGCACCACCGTTGCTCGGCAACCCGATATATGACAATTGTGTTATAAAAATAGTCACGAGTTCGCGTCCCGGTGTCAAGGCGTCTTTTAAATCCCCGCCCATACTCCCTGGCCCGGGAAAACCCAGTATATATTGAAATTTATACTATAAAAAAAATATAAATTCATCTATTTATTATTAAATAAACCAAGAATTGATAGACAGTAAATTTATTATAGATAATTTATATCTAGTAAATATTGTGAGAAAAACTTGGTAATATTTTT